GAAAGGCAAGGCAAAACAAGCCCAACTTCATCAAGATAACACCGTCAAGGGAGTGAAGAAGCTTGATGAAGGACAAATCGTGGTTTGCTACGTGTGCCACAAGGAAGGTCACAAGTCCTATGAGTACAAGGTGAAGAATGGGGGTGGAGCAAAGAAGAAAGAGAAGAAGCAAACTAGTAAGCTCTTCAACACCTACACCAATAAGGTGGACAAGAAGGCCTCCACACCATACTTGTTAAAGAAGAAGAAAAATAACAAGGTGGTGGTCATCAAGGTGAACAAGCAAGCCATCAATGGGGTCAAACACTTTTGGGTGCTAAAGGAAATCATTTTCAATATGAAGAGCACCAAGAAGGTTTGGATCCCGAAAGCGAAATGAGAAGTCCAATGGACTTCGGGGAATCTAGAGACTTGGCAAAGTATGGATGCATTTCATGAGATGCATCATGATGGATAAAATCATTGCCAAGTGGGTTAGTGAATACTATGGACTCAAATTCCCCTTCCCATGTTAGGTAACTAGATTTAATTCTCTTCAAGTAGTATCAATTTGCATTTCCTACAAGTGGTATTTCTTACAAATTGGTATCTTTAAGCATCCAGTTACCTTTCATGCCTATGTTTGCTTTTGCATGTTTATATCTTTTGTCATGCATACACTAGGTATATCTTATGGTAGGCTTGCTCGGTTTCATTCTTAACCCTTGGAGCAAACCTACATGGTTTAAAATTGTTTAAGAGCACGGCACATAGCTTCTCTTAGAATTGTTCTTCTAATATGTGTCAAATTCCAAATTATAAATAATTTCTCCCGAATATCTTCTTTGAAAATGATTCTCACATTCATATGATGTCATCTTTCAAGTGTTATTTTTTATTCTAAAAATCAATGTGCATGTTTCCTACAAGTATCCCATACTTGTGTGCACAAATTTAGGGGGAGGTTACTCTACAAGTTGGATGCTTTGAGACTAATACCTTTTCAAGTTTATCATATGTGTAGTAGTCTCATTGCAAGGAAAATAGAGTCCCCAGAGTTAAGCATCATACTTCAAATATCCACCACCTATTGCAAGTGGTAGAAATCAAATTGGTTTCCACATGTGGTATTTCTAAACCGATATCATCATGTTGATTTCATTTTGATATTTATATGCTTTCTCCATGCATTATATAGATTAAATTCCCTTGAGCAATATTTTACCAATTATACATATGCTTTGCCTTTTACCATATGTATGCATATATTTAGGGGAAGCTTAATCTATATAATGTGAGAGTCAAATTTTGTGACCTATTCCACTCTACATACAAAGGTTCACAAAGTTTGACCCTCCCTTGTACTACTAATATCTTTCTTTTCGGTGTTTGATTCCAAAGGGGGAGAATTTAGAGGACCAAAAGCAAGCATTAATTTGTAGGACCAAAAGCTAGATCATAATAACTTACAAGTGGTAATGGTCCAAGAAAGGAAGGATAGTGGATTATGGATTAGCCTATACAATGGGGAGAATTTGTATGAAGCAATGCTTTAATTCATAATACCACATGGGGACATTTGCAAGGGCAAGATAAGTTTTTATGTAGTATCTTCTAGTCTTACAAATAGTATCTTTTGGCATCATATAATCTTGCCCCTGCATTTCATCCTAGCAAGTAGATAGCTTTTAAATTCTAAATTTTTTATTATTTGCTTGCTTTGGTCGTGTTGTCATCAATCATCAAAAAGGGGGGAGATTGTAAGGAAAATGGACCCTAGGCCCATTTATTTTGGATTTTGGTGTTTGATGACCAACACAACCAAATTAGACTAATGAATTTGCAAGTGATTGTTTTGTAATTCAATAGGATGCAAGACGTGACTTGGACGAAGGCGACGTGATGATCCGATGATCAACACCATAAGCAAGACCTTAGGAGCACAAGAGAAGACCCAAGATATCAAGTAAAGTCCAAGGATGAAGATAGGAACCAAACCGGACGCAAGATCGCGAAGATACGAGCTCACAGAAGTGACCGGACGCTGAAGGAAAGCAATCGGACGCTTCGATCAAGAGGCTCAGCAACAGGCGTCAGTAGCAGCGACCGGACGCTGGACCGGACGCTAGCGGCAAATCGACCGGGCGCATGACATCAGAGTCCGGTCGAGTACAGAGAGGTTCCAGAGCGGCGACATTGCGACTGGACGTGTCCGGTGGCAGGTGACCGGACGCTGGCAGCATCCGATCAGTTGATCGCGGCTCCAACGGTCGGGACGATCGGACGCGTCCGATCAGGACGACTTCAGCGTCCAGTCAATAGCAGAAAAGCGGGATTTCGTCCCCAACGGCTACTTTCTCAGTGGGATTTATAAATACAACCCCAACCGACCATTTGAGTGGCGTGAAGCTGAGGAAACATATCAATGGTGTTGATACACCATTTTAGTGATCTCCACTTGCATAGTGCTTAGTGATTCATTAGGTGATTAGCGTGGGTGCTTTACGGCGTGCTTAGGTTGATTAGACCACCGCTTATGCGCTTGCTCTAGGTTTGGGCTTAGTGTTTAGTGAGGTTTGCATACCTCTTACCACTCGGTGCTTGCGCCGCACTCATTGTTGTACATCGGAGGGGCTTGTAGTCTTGTGAGATCACACCGACTGTGTGTTTGTGGTGTGGCCGCCACCGTGTCTTCGGAGGGAACATGGTCCGCGGGCGTTTGGCGGAAGCTTGATAGTGAAGAATGGGTAGCATCCGGGAGAGGCTTGCCGGAAGGCACGCCGGAGACCCACTTCTTGCGTGGGGAAGGCCCGAGGGTATCCATGGAGTTACCCGACCAGGAGCTTGGCCCTTAGAGGGCTCGAACGAGAAGTAGGGGAAGCTTGCACGCTTCTCGATACCTCGGTAAAAATACCGGAGTCGTCGACAGAGTTTGCATATCTCTACCTTGCTCTTTAGCTTCCGCATTTACATCCATTGTATTACTTCTTTTTTGCGGTAGAGATCAGCACACACTAGCAAAAAACCATAGTTGCATATTTAGATAGTTTATCTTTTGCATAGGTTTTGCTAGGGTTAGAAAAAGAGACCATAGTTTAGGAGTAGATTTTTAAGTTGCCTAATTCACCTTCCCTCTTAGGCGTCCACGGTCCCTTCACACACGCCTAGTTAATCTTCCTATGCATGCTAGTTTTCATTTCATCAATCATTTTCTATAATCTAGCATACACCACACATGCATGGATATGGAATTTAAAAAACTTATGCCATGCAAGCAAACATATGTAAATGCACATACAAATGCAACATACAAGTTTATGAGCTTGCTCCCCCTGCTCGTGTGCTTCAACTTTTCATTGATCCCTTTACAATGTCATTTTATTTCTTTACTATCTTTGTGAATTCTCTCCCCCTTTGTCAGCAATTAACACAAAAGGTGAGCTTAAATTTTAGATAAGCTGGGGTGAAACCACGTGAAGTGAGGATCATTTTCTCAATATGATTCAATCTAGATCACTTGCAAAAAATATTTAACTCGGTTTGATTCAAGGGCAAGCTTTTTAACACCTCCAAATGAGGATTATCATGCACCATATTGAGTTAAACACTTATAACTCATTTTCTAGATTAAGCACTAGGTTCACAAGCCCATAAACATGTCATATGCTACCACTAGATCATTTCAAGCATACAAGCAATAGTTGTACCATACAAGCATCAAATTCATTTGATTTTCATGAATGATCCTAAGACATGTGAGGAATGACTAGATGCGCTAAACAAATCCTTAGCAATGGATGAGTGACATGTCAATCAACTTTACCTTGCTTTGCTCGAAGGAGAGACATGTCATATATGAGGGTGCATCAACACATATTGGAGAAGTCAAGTATGTTCAATTCATTTCTTAGTGTGCAAAACCTCTTCTCCTCAAGTGGCTTGGTGAATATATCGGTAAGTTGATCATCGCTGCCACACTTTCAATGCAAATGTTCTCTTTTGTTGGTGATCTCTTATGAAGTGATGACGGATATCTATGTGCTTTGTTCTTGCATGTTGAACCGGATTGTTGGTGAGCTTGATAGCACTCTCATTGTCACATAGCAATGGCACTTGTTTGAACTTGATTCCAAAGTCACTCAAAGCTGCCTTCATCCAAAATAATTGAGCACAACTACCAGCCAAATATACTCCGTTCGGTGGTTAAAAGTGCTACACTATTTTACTTCTTTGATGAACAAGACACAAGTAATCTTCCCAATAGTTGACATGTGCCCGATGTGCTCTTTCTCTCAACTTTGCGTCCCGCATAATCGGAGTCCGAATATCCAATCAACTCAAATCTTTCTCCTTTGGGATACCACAATCCAACATTTTATGTATGTTTTAAGTACCTCAATATTGTCTTGGTTGCCTTCAAATGACTTTCTCTTGGTGATGCTTGAAATCTAACACATATGCATACACTAAACATTACATCCGATTTTGATGCGGTCACATAGAGTAGGCTTTCAATCATAGACCGATACATCTTTTGATCTACTATATTGCCACTAGCATCACTATCTAAGTTTTCATTTGTCCCTATTGGTGTTCTAATAGTTTTAGCATCATCCATTCCAAACTTCTTGAGCATGTCTTTGATGTACTTGCCTTGACTCATAAATATACCATTCTTTAATTGCTTGATTTGACTAAGGAAGTAGCTAAGCTCTCCAATCATAGACATCTCAAACTCACTTACCATCATATTTTCAAACTCCTCACAAAAATCTTAATTGGTGGATCAAATATGACTCAATGGTACCAGCTCCTAAACCATCCAACCACAAGTTTTACCGACCAAAATAACAGATGCTAGACACTTTGTACAGAACAGCCTGACACGATACCTAAGTATTACACATAAACTTGGTCTCGAGTTTTGACCAGCAACATAACAGAAGTAACCTCCCAAGTTACTTCTTCAAGCGCCAGGTAGCAAAAGCATGAGCTTTATATATACCCATAAAAGAGACCCATCACATATCCTTCGGGCCATCTGGCTCAGCAAGGGATGCCAGGTATGCCACCTGATCCATCTCGTACCCATGAAGCCCCTCCCACAGATCACCTTCACCGTCGTGGCTCCCCAGCTTCTCAACCGCCCGTGTGTTGAGGCTCAGAGCATACACCAAGCTTCTCCGGTGGCCACTGTCCCCAGTGACGGCTGTGAAGAACACAAAGCCACTCTTCCCGCAGAACCACCTCAGCTTCAAACTGATCACATCGGCAGGCAAGGATTGTCCTACCTGGATTGATTCGATCTCATCCCACCACCGACGGTCGGTGCAGGTGGTTATGCGTATGGAGATGCGGTCAGCCTTCATACGTGCTGGCAGTGGGTCAAACTGGACGGCGCACAGCAAACCCTTTTGTGACAAACCTAGCAAGGAGTTTTTGTCAAAGATCTTTCCGTTTCCAGACCGAGGCATGAATACCAGTGCGGACTGCAGATGGTTGAGGCTAAGAACAAGTACCACGTTCTTGGCCATCCAGTACACTCGCTTGCGGTCACGGCTCACGACTCCACTGTGTGTCAAGCCCATCTGTTTCTTGCCGAGCCTAGAGCCGGTCATTTTTGCCTCTTCACTCCAGCTGCCTTGGTCCGATGAGTAGCTCCGGAACGCAGTGAAGCCACGTCGAGTGTACACCATGACCAGGCGGAAGTACGACGGTGGCGGCGGCGGGTCAGTGGCCTTGTCATCACGGTCCTCGGCTGCACGCATAGTGCCCGAGGCCATCCTTGCCTGCCAGGGGTGGCAGGACGTGCACTTCACCTGTCATTGGGTTGCAGACGCAAAGCTTGAGCGCCCCGTTGTGCTTCCCGTGCCGGATGTCAACGACGAGGAGGCCGTTCCTGGCTGCCACGATGCGGGAAGACCCGTCAAACAGCCCGTTGTCGACGAGCGCGCCCAGGGACGGCGGCGGGTTCCGGAGGAGCCCGGGGAAGCGGCGCGATGCGGAGGCCATGGCGACGAAGCCCGGCGCGGCGTCCGCCTGGTGGTGGAAGAAGCCGAGCGCGAGGGGGGCGATGAACCTGGCGGGCACGAGCCGTGGAGTGCGGCAGAGGAAGGCGGCTTCGGCGGACACCAGGCGATGCCAGCGCCGGCAGGTGGCGGAGCAGCGGACGAGATCAGCGAGGTTGTGCACGCCGGCGAAGATGACGAGGAGAACCTCGTCGCTGAGCGGCGTGCCGTCGTCGTCGTCGGCACGGCGCGGACGTTTGGCGGGGTCACCACGGAGGGTGGACAGCCAGCCTCTGCCACCGCGCCCATCCGCCGCCGCGGCGGAGGAAGTGGACGGCGGCCTCGACGAAACGCGGGGTCGCCGCGCCGGCGGCATCCTGCCCCTCTACGGGGAAAGATAAACATCAAATCGAATCATTAACTTTGCACTCAAAGCAAAGAACTGGGGAAATGTACACAAAACGGAGAAATCTAGACTCGATTCGGTGACCTTTGCACTGTTGATTTCTCAACTTTGCAGATTGCACAGGAGAAGAACTAAACCTCTAATCCCCCTGTAGGCATTTAGGGTTTTTGGATACGAGGGGCAAACCTGGGCGATGGCGGCGGGACTCTACGGCGATGGAGTTCAGATGGGGAAGCGATCTGAATCGCTCTCCGGACGCCGCAGAGGAAACGAAACTGGAAACTGAATCGAGATTAGAGAGAGAGAGAGAAATAGAGAGAGAAGGGGAAGCGACGCCCCTCTTCATTTTGCTCGCACCATCGAACCGACACGCAGCGCAGACGCCGCCCAAAAATAAATTTTAGGGTGAATTTTGTAACTCGGTGATGGCATCTGCTACTTATGTCCAGAGAGGAATACGATTCTAGCAGGGTGCTACATTTTAGTATTTTGAGTTTCATTAATTATAGAAAAAATATTATCAATATTTATGATATCACATAAATATCATTGGATCGATTACGAAATGTATTTTCATAATAAATTGATTCGAATCCATAAATATGAATACTATTCACTAGAAACTTGGTCAAACGTGAACTAGTTTTACTGACACGCAACCCATAGTTACATTCTTTTCTGGACTGAGGGAGTACAATACTTGTGACTTTTCTCCATCTTTAAGGTGAGTTTCCACAAATAATTTTGTACGGACTTGCTAGTGTTCGGACGGTGCCCGCAGAGTGAGCGAGCGAGTGGCTAGCACGTTGAGCTTGTGAGCAAGCACACCAGCAGTGGACACGCGTTGCCCTGAAAGTTGCTCACGCCATCAGCCGCTTCCCCACGCATCCCATGTGCAGCATTCAATCTACTTTTAAAACATCCGGATGCAACAGTTGCAAAGAAGACACATGAAACACTTGAAACAAGCATCTGAAACACTTGCGAAAACGCCTGAAAAAAATTGAAAACCATTGCAAACATATGCAACATTCAGATGAAACACTTGCAAACATATGTATCAAACACCTGAAAACACTTTGAAACATATGTTTGCAACATACATGTATATGCAACATCCAGATCTACTTTTGCAACATCGAGATAAAACACTTGGAACGTACGTCTGGAACAGATGAAACATTTAGAACATACAATCGAAACATATGTGTATAGCCATTATAACATGTGCAACATCCCGGTCTACTTTTACAACATCGATATACAACACTTGCAACGTACCTCTGAAATATCTGAAACACTTAAAACATACTCTTGCAACATACGGTTCTCACCCTTCTTCTTCCGTATGATGCAACACAGAGCGGGAATGCTTGATTCCGCAAAGCCACCGCCGAGGAGGTTGGTAACACGGCTTGGCAGCCGCCAACAAGGCTAGCTTGCGCTTACTGCCTAAGCGCGCTGAACTGAAAGCACCGGCATGGCGCAGCAGGGGACGAAGGCAGGGATAGGGTGCGCCATGGGGGATGGTGGCGATGGCACGCTGAAGTGAGCCGCGGCGTGGCGTGAGTGGGCCTCGCACGGAATGGGGAGAGGCGCGATGGGAGCGGATGTGGCCCCAACACGCCGGAGAAGGCCACAAATGAGGAGCCTCACGCCGAGAAGGAAGCAAGACAACATCCTTTTTTTTTGGAGAAGCGGGGCTGACGAGCGGCGGCTGGATAAGACGGAGACCACTCCGTCCGCACACCATATAGGGAGCATTACTGAATTTTATAACATAGTTACCAAGTCTAACACATCATATTTTATGTTGGTAATCAGGACAACGAAGTTTCATCCAGCATAAAACTTTATGAAACTCTCTCTCTATCTCTTCATCATAATTTTAATTTGCTAATAACTCGGTTAATTTGTTGATATGTCACAACATTTAATGAAAATTAAACTCTTTTAAAATCAATAGCATGTACAATAGACTATCTATTTAACTGTAGTATGTAAGTTGCTTAATGCTTTTATTTATTCATAGTCAAATATGAATATAGTCCCTTTATACATTGTGTTACTTTTTGATATAAAGCAGATCAAGCATAATTATCATATAGAATATAAATGATGTATTTTATATTTTCTTACTTAAAAAATAAATAGAATTACATTATCTTACTCTAAATATTTTATATTTTTAGAGCTCATATGCAACCTACAAAAATATCACATTAAAAACACTAAATCATTTTTAGCTCCATAGCAAGAGCCTTGCTGGCCGTGAAACATTTGACTTTAGTGTCACATTGATGTGAGTAATTTACATAAATTTTGCAGGATTTATTGAGCGCAACAATGTTCTACAAAAGTACACTTAAGGTTCCACAAAAAAAATGCATCAACCATTTAAGGTTTAACATGTGTTTTGTCACTTTAGGTTATAGTTCTAGTCAAAAGGAACCTAACACAATTTGAATTATGATTTTTATATTTTATTCTAATTTTATACGAATTCTATAGGTTTTAGCCGATTTACACATTTTAGAAAAACGGAAGAAGCTAAGTATGTGTTTGGTTGGAGGGTTACATTGGGTTGGGGTGGGTCAAACCTAGAGTTAGAGGTGTTTGGTTCCAGGATGTATGGGTTGGGTTCGACCGCATAGGGAATATTCTCGATGAGATGCGAGTTCAGGCTTGGTTTCTCCAAATCGAGCGGACCGCTCGACCCACTTCGACGCCGTCGCACTGCTTTCTTCCTTCTCTCTCTCCTTGGGCGCGGGCAGGCCTGGCCGGGTGGCGGCTGGGCGGATGCGGGTGCGGGATGATGTCACATCAAGCGTGTGCATGGCGCGCAGATGTTGAGGCCGACGCACGCAGGCTCGGCTGGGCGCCATGAGCGGATGCGGGAGGTGCAAGCCACCGGCGGGCGGGCGCCATCGCCGAGGCGGAGTGTTAGAGGCCACCTGTGATTGCTCTGCGGCTCTGGTCGAGCAACGACGAGAGTGGAAGATGGGTCGAAGTCGTGACACACCGGGTCCCAGTAAATAGCAAGTGACGGTGTTAAAGATGCCATCCATCCTAACCCACTCCATTCCTTAAACCAAACAAAAATTAGAACAACTCTAACCCTCGAACCAAACACAATCTGAGTTCAACTCGACCTTAAAAAGTGGGATGGATCCAACCCAACCCACATGGCTCAAGGAACCAAACACATGCTAATAAACCACAATGGATCCACAACGGGCGTTTGTCTCGGGCCAGCTTTGCTTGAGCATGAGCTGCTAGCCGACCGATCGGCTGTTTCGCTAGTTGGTTTCGGGTTGGTTTGGGCTGGGTGGTGTCGGGTTTGTTATGAGAGAAAAACATCATTGATCGATTGGTTTGGGCTAAATGAAACCAACAAACGAAATGTTTGAATAAACAAGACGATGACACCTTTCTCTGTCTTCATTGATTATTTCTTTCTTTGTCTCTTGAGCGGCTCTTCTTTCTTGCTCTAGTTGTACTTTCTCTATAACTAAAACATACGGATTATCAACATCTACCCGGCAGGATCAAAACACTCATACAATCTATATCCGTGCAGTAAAATAATTACCACATCTCATGCGATCCATATCCGACGGACAAATAATCACCGTATGAAGACACTGGAAGACAAGTAAATAAAATAGAATAAAACTCACGGAATCACCGGCGGATAAATAATCACCGCATGGAGACACCGGGAAGGTAAGTAACAAACTCTATCTCTACAACTAAAACATATGCATTGTTAACATCTACCGGCAGACCAAAACACTTATGCAATCCATATCCGACAGTAAAATAATCACCGCATCTCATGCGATCCATATCCGACAGCAAATAATCACCGCATGGAGACACCGAAGTCAAGTAAATAAAATGGAATAAAACTCACGGAATCACTGGCAGGCAAACAATCACCGCATGGAGACACTGGAAGGCAAGTAAATAAAATAAAATAAAACGGAAAGAGAATTATGGGAAGAGAAAGGAAGACAAATAATCACCGTATGGATATACTGGAAGACAAGTAAATAAAAATGGAATAAAACAGAAAGAGAATTATGGAAAGATAAAGGAATTTATTGAAATATCACCACGCAATGATCATGATCGTGATCCAAATCTCGTTTGTGGTCGCCAAGCGCTATGCGTGTTGACAACAAATATATTTTTTTCCTAAAATATGAATTATTGCCATGCCTCATGCGGGCTAGTATATTGTAAGTCCGAGTATACATGTTTTGGCAAGGCAGAGCATAGATAAATTCAATTCGATGCCTAGCAATAAATTTTCAGCCTTTGAGGCAACTGATGTTTATCGTAACTTTCAGACAACAAGTTCCAAGCCTAGCTTTTATTTCAGATTCATTACGTTAATGAATGTGTTTCTAGACATTATCGTGGTATAATACACGGAAAAATTGAATTGATATATTTTTGATTTTGACTTGGCTAACAAACATCACATTTAATTTATGTTGCACCCGTTACAGCAACGCACGGGCACTCATCTAGTCTTTAATCAAATTTTAACAAAATTCACAGTAGGGTTATGCTCGTCCTGTTTACATAAAAAAAACTATAAACAGAGAACTTATCTGTAAAATTGATAGTAATAGAAGGCTACGTAGAAAGCATTGTACGCGCATTTAGGCTTGAGTGTTGGTAGTAATCTCTACAACTAAAAGTTTTCATGGAGTATTTACAAAAGGTGACTTCTTTGTCACTATGTGGGCATTTGCCATTTATGCTCATTATCTTTTTCTTGCTTTAGTGGGAGAGGAAGAGGGTATTGGGACTAATATTTTCTATTTATATTATCGATAGTAAACATGTACGTATATTATAGGAGAAAAAAGTTATCAAACATCTTATACTCTTATAAAGCAAAACTCCACTAACAAATTTTCTCGATCCACAGTGCTCCATGTCATCATTCCCTCCAG